ATTTAGATTTTATGTATTTGCTTTTGAACAAGAGATATTTAAATTTTAAAAGTTTCTCATGTTCCTAAAACGGTTATTGTAAATTTTTGTTCTTTGAAAAGATTAGTCAAAATATAATACTTAAAATAGAATTATATTTTAAAAGTATTTAAATTAATGTAATTCAATTAGAATTATTTTAAATAATGTTTATTGTATATGAATTATATAGAAAAATATACACTCAAGAAAATTCTAAAATGCGTGGTTGGAACCTAATATAGTGGAAATCAGTTCCAATATTCCTTCTAAAATTAATCATTGCAAATGGGATTATACAAAAATTAGTTACAATTACAAATTTTAATCATATCATTTCCGAAATTAATAATTAGCTCAAAGAAGCAATAATTTTAACATAAATAATGTTCTGCAAATAAAAATATTATATTGCAATGTCTTAGAAGACTGCGTGATTCAATAACCCGTATTTGCATGATATCGTGTCATTTCTGATATAAATTTAATTATTTAATTTATAAAATGCTTCGTTTAATAATGAAGCCCATTTCTTATTATTATGTTCTTTTTAGATGGTGTGGCACAGTACACACAAAGTGGGATGTGGTTTTAATTATTGCGAAGCGAATAATATCACAAAGCATGCTTATTACAGTTATGTCTGCAATTATTGTCCTATGTAAGAATCATTTCATTTTTATTTCATTAAAGCAACTGAAAGTAAATTATATGAATACAATCCATTTTTTTTTGGAAAAGCAACAAATCCGAGTCATATTTTATTTTGCCGAAGAAGCACACACAAATTTACAGTTTTCATTTTCTTTTCGAAAATAATAGGATAAAAATAAATTCATTTTATAAGGATCTCTATAATTATTTCTCAGTTACGTAGAATTAGCATGGAAATTTTGCGTGGATTCTCGAATGATATATCAGTTAAAAAAAATGTTTGGATGCGTGAAATTCTAGTACATGTAATTATAACAGAAACAACTATTTTTCCGTTATTTTAGAGAAAATTTGATATCTTTCATGCATATTTTTCTTGGTTCTAATTTTTGTAGTATTATTGTTTTTCAATAAAAGTATTCTTAAAATTATTTTATTTTGATTGTTTAATTTTAGTAATCTATTTATTTGCCACAGAAGTGATAGATATTCCTCTTTTCAATGGAATTTCCTTAAAAACAACAAGCAAAATATCCAATTTAAAAACGCATTATTTCATTAATATGCAGCGTAAGCATCTTTCAAATTATTTGAAGAACAATTTTTTTCTTTCCTTTATAATAAAATTTCTTTTAAATATTTTTATACATTCATAACACAAGAGAAGCATATTTATCATCTAAAGTATTCTAATAATTTTTGTATTTATTTTTGTATATTCGTATGATTCTTATTTTTATATTAATTAAACAACAACGTTCTACAAATATTTGCAATGATGAATTTTCATAGCATGTATTATTTTAAATAATTATAATAGGATTACCCATTACAACTTAATATTTCTTTAGTATACAGACATCGCATAAGTAAAAGTTATTGCTATTTTTTTTAAAAATAACAAGAAGCTAAATAGCAATAGTTAATTTCTGGTAGATATTTTCCTTTAGAATATATTTTCTGACTGAAACTATTTCGCAACTCATAAGCAAATTTTATTAGTTTTTATCTCTTCTTATTTCATCCCCAATTACTCATTTTTTAAAATCTCTCATATAATTAAATTACAGATATTTCTCTTTTTTTAAAAAGAAAATAGTCTGAAAGCCGATTTAAGTATATTTTTATACCTTAAAGTGTTTCAATCTTTCCTTTACCTATTAAAAGTCAATATTACAACAAGAAGAATTACAAAATCGTCAATTTTTAAACTTCTATGAACTCAAACTATTAACTTGAACTTATTTACAGATTTTTTAATGGTTATTTAGAAGTCCTTAATTTTTTCAAACGATATGATAATAGTCCATAAAAAAAATCCATATTATAAATTCTTTTTCTATTTTTTTTTCTTTTCTTAGAGGAAACCATCCTGAAAGATTTGATCGCCCATATACCAATGGTACTTCCTGTTCTGATTGTGATGGGCATTGCAAATTTAACAAATTATGCAGTAAGTCAACACATAAAATCAATTTTAAAAAAATTAAATCTAGTTTATATATATATAGTAAAATAAAATAAAAGTGCAGAAGTACTAAAACCTACAGTGCTAAAGAAGGAAGAAATTGGAATTCACCAGACACAACAAAAGTAGATACAAAAAAGTCTTTGGACTAAACTGGAGACCTATTATGATTCGCTGAATTAGGCCAATGAATTAGGGTTAGCAATGCTTTATGGATCCAAGCTTCCCCGTACAGCAGAAATTTTAGACATAATAGGAAAAAAAACCCCAAGTTGAAAAGTTAAGTCTAATACAACGTGGAAGAAAAACCTGATAATATATAAAAATTAAGTTAAGAAAAGAGAACATTAATGAATGTCTCAAAAGGAGAGTAATAATAAAAAAATTAAATATATATATAAATTATACAGGTTAAGAGAATCTTCATTAAGATAAATTATTTACCATCTTACATATGTTATATTGCATCAAATGTAAAAAAACTAAAGTGTATATCATAATTTTCTCAAAATTATTTGCGTCACATAGCCAATATTCACAGAGACCTCATAAAAGTTTAAAATAAGTGTTTTACATTCATTAGTATTTTTTTTAAGTAATCTTCGTTAGATAACCAGTTGTTTTGCTAAAATGTATTTACTATTGAAGTTATACTTTTGTAATATTTTCTAGTTTTGCCGTACATCCACAAAAGTTTTATTTTGTATTCTAAAATTATACATATAATCTACATTTGTATTAACACATCAATGATACGTTATATAGATTATCGTAAAATAAAACTCAGTTTTAATCTAACCTGTGTTATTGAAGTTGAGACAATCGAATTAGTTAGTAAAAATACGATCCAATTTATAAATCATTGTGCATATTTGTTGCTATAGAACATACTTGTTGGTTTATCATCCTTTTCTAGACCAATTTTCACGCAGAGTACTATAATTGTTTTTAATTTTAGCATATTTCAACGGAATGAAATTCAACTTGTCTTTTTAGTCTTGTCTGAACTTTTATTATGCATATCCATAAGTTCTTTTTCATATTCCTTTTTGGTAGAAAATACAAAGGTAATATCAGATAAAGAGTCATTCTCCAATAATCAATGTAACATTCCGACACATATTTTACTTTAATATGTGTATGAATTCTTTAAAACCCACAGATTAAAAATAATTCTTGTTTTTAAAATGATGTTATATATTCAGAAATTCTAACATAGATATTTAATACAAAATTGTTTTCTTACTAAGCGTTATTTTTTCTTAGTAATTATTATTCCAAATTAATGGTGTAACACAACATTTAATTGGAAAACAAAACATAAATCTAACATAATATTTTAATTAGAAAACTGTTTGAAGTTTTACTTATTTATCATTATTATTCAAAATTATTTAGAAATTTTAACCTTAAAATATTACGATGTAACCATACAAGTTTTAAGAATTAATTTACTTTTAATTTTTTGAAATTAATGTAAGAAATGCACTTGCATTTTATTATTAGATCACTCTAAAATGAAACACACTCTTTTAGAGATATTACACAATAAGAAAAACCACATGTAAATGTTAAATTATTTTCAAATGATCAGTCTTAAATTGATATAAAAGGAAACAATAAAATATCTCATTTGAAATTATCTCGCTGGAAATTATAGATAACTATTTTTTTCTGTTTGTTCTTTAGCGAACGGATGTCCATATGCTGACTACTGGACAAATTGCAATGAGTTAAACAGCACCTGGAACAACTGGTTATGTGATGATGAAACAACAGATCGCTATCAAGCCTGTCGTTCCACATGTAGATGTGATGGAAAAATTCGTTGATAAAATATAAAAGAAGATATTGTATCATTTATTCAAAAAACGATAAACATATCTATTATACTCTTTACCTTAAAGATAAAAGGCTCGTTGGGAAAAAAATACATTTGTTTCCTATGGGGAATATATTTATCGATTCTTTACAGCGTGCTCGTAAACTCTTTGCTCTTAAGCACAAAGTGGAAGATCAAAAGCTGTTTTCTCAGAATAAATTTGGCGTTTTTTGTTGTAGGAAGCATTATGCTTTTGTCTACGTTAAATGAAGTGCTCCATTCTTTTGATTGTTCTTTTTAAACCCATTTATAAAGAATAAAAGAAGCGAATAATGTTATAATAATTGTTATGAACCGTATCAAAGCCTTTGTTTTGTTCGTATTCACAAGCCTACATGTCAAAGCTCTTTTTAAGTTTCATCTTTTTAAAACTAGAAAGCGAATTGTTGGATCTTTTGTTTTAAAGAAACAACAATTGCTTATGCGAGAATATCAATAATTGGGCAATAAAATTAAAGTGAATTTAAAAACGAATGTTTCAGCTGGAGGTGTTAAAAAATCAAAAAGAAAGCTCTGCTTCAAAATTAGCGTTACTAATACTGTTACAATGAATGTTATGGATATTAAAAAATAATCTTACACATTAGTATAAATTATGAGTGATAACAAGTGATCATAATGAGGGAAAAAGTGTAAAACATTTGTGTTATTTTAAAAATTCATAATTGACGTAGAAAATCAACCAGTGTGTGTGTGTATGCTATGTTTTTCAATTCCTACTATTAGTTCACACTCTTCCTATATATATTTATTTATATATATATATATATCTTGTTCAAATTTTCAATCGTTAATAAAATTATTCTGTTCATTCATTCAAGTTCAAATACATTTTTTTAAACTTGTAGTATATGACAATTGATGTTAATACAGTTTTTTCAAATATTGATTCATTAATTAAATTTAAAAATGAATAAACAATAACAAACAAAAAATAATAGCCCAACGGCATATATAGAAAGAAAAATAGTTCATTGTGTCTCTGTAACGCAAAGGATAGCGCATTGGACTTCTAATTCAAAGGTCGTGAGTACGAATCCCACCTGGGATTGCGTAATTTCTGAGAATATTTCTTTTTTACTGTACTATTTTATTAGAATAATTAAATTTAAGGTATCCGACTACGTTCGGAACCATAATTTTAAAAAAGCGCATAAATGTATAATTTTCATGATATTTAGAGTCACTTAGATTAGAATACATGTATAAAATTGTTTTAAGGACATTATGACAAAAAAATAATTTAAATACAATATTTTGGCAAAAAATTAACTTAGAATAAACTTTTTTCCAAATGTTCTCCTTTTGTAAAAAATGCTTCTATTGTATTAATATTTTGCCTGTATATAGCTCAGACCTCTGTACAGAGGCTCAACTATGATTTTTGAAAAATTCAAATTATTTTCAAAGTTACAACCATTTAAAATAATTATCGGCGTATTTTCTAAATTTCTCCCTTCTGTTTTCGTAAAACATGAATAAACCGACTTCCAAGTTATGCGTTTCAAAAATTCTAGTTGAGCCTCTGTACAAAGGTCTGAGCTATATACAGGCAAAGTATTAATACAATAGAAGCATTTTTTACAAAAGGAGAACATTTGGAAAAAAGGTTATTCTAAGTTAATTTTTTGCCAAAATATTGTATTTAAATAATTTTTTTTATCATAATGTCCTTAAAACAATTTTATACGTGTATTCTAATCTAAGTGACACTATATATCATAAATATTATCCATTTACACGCTTTTGCAAAATCACGGTTCCGAACGTAGTCGGATACCTTAAGTGATGAATAAATAGAAACAAACAAAAATAGTCCAACACCATATATAGAAAGGAAAATGAAAAATTGCAAGGAAAATCGCTTTCTGTTTTGCCACTTAATATTGTATATATATATTTATATTAATTGTAACTATTTAATAAAAAGTAACTAAAATAAAATTTTTCTTTTTTGACCTAAGTAGGAATTGACTTAATTTTTTTTATATGTTACTTGTTATGCATACTACCTTTGAGAATAAAATTTGGTGAATAGTCCTGTAACGTTAACGTAGATGAAACATTAGCGAAAGTTACTTTACTGTCTTTTAAGGGCTCTCAGGAACCTTAACAGATATCCGTGCACTCGAAAAAAACATCCTTCTTCAAACAAAACAATAATTTGAAATTTTTACCACATGATAATCATACATATTTACATTATTTCTCAAATATTTAGAGAATTTTAGAGACAATTTAAAAAGATATAAAGAAATAACAATTGGACAATTTTTCAAATATATGAAAATCAGTATTTTACACCGCACACAGAGGAGTCTGAAGTTCAAAATTGATCAAAATTTGCAAAGTTAAATTTACTTGGTATAAAAATGTTCACTTTTGAAGTTATACTAACTTTTAAGAAATTTAGAGAAAAAATTTTTTTAAATACAATTATAACGAAAATTTTAAATTTTTTTGAAAAAAAATAAATTTAAATTCAAATTAAAAAAATCCTTTTAATTTTTTTTTGAAAATTGATGTATAAGTTATGAAGAGCCTTATTTTGAACTCGTGTATAAAATTTCAAATTGATATAAATAGTTTCTGAGAAATCCTGCGCGCAAGCTAAATTTTTTTTGTTTTGCGAACAAGGAAGCTATAGATAAGAAAGAGATAAAGTTTTTCGTTTAAGTTTCACTACTTATTTCTCAATAACTTTGGACGTTTTCACAGTATCAACACAGTTTTGGTACCAAAATGTTCAGAAATATTGAGGCTGTAACATATATTTTTTTTCAAAAAATTGAAAAATTTGCAATTTAAGAGTCCTGAGAGGCCTTAAAATTGTCACCTCCCAAAACTATGCACCTCTGAGATCTGCTATACATGTCATGGACATTTTTCAAAAAGTCTTCTTTTGGGATGGAGTTCAAAAATCTCTTCACGTTTTGTTGGATATCGGAATATCGTCAAATCTCTTTCCTTTCAAATCAAGTTTAAGTCAGGGGAATAGGAAAAGTCTGAAGGATTGAAACCTGGTGAGTATGGGGATGTTCAATTCCTACCACCTTCTTTTTTGCCAGGACTGTTTGACGGTATTGACTGGGGGGGGGGCGAGCATTGTTGTGAACAAAAACGTGAGCTTGTTGTGATTACTGGGATCGTACCCTGAGTAGACGTTTCCTGAAACGTGTCAAAATTTCAATGTACCTTGCAGAATTCATCGCAGTTTTCTCGTTTAAAATTTGCTTGTGGATAATGCCTTGACTATCAAAAAAGGTCATGAGTATCGATTGATGCGTGATTTTTCTGCTCTGACCTTTTTCCGACAAGGTGATACAAAGGAGCCACATTCCATGCTTTGCCATTTCGTTTCAGTATCAGTACAGTTCAACAAATTTGATGTCGCATCCACCGTTCTACAAAATCTTGTGAAGACTCTAAACATGTCTGCTTCTGATCGTTAGTCAAGTGATGTGGCACAAGACGACAATACGTTTTTCTCATTCCTATAAATTCTGGGTAACGATTTGCAGCATGGATTCATGGTTAATCTGTACCTCATTAGCTGTCATACGCCCAGTTAATTGGCAATCTTTCGTGATTAGTTTCCTCACTTTGTAAATGGTTTCGTTACTGATGGAGGTTGCCTGTCTTCCGCTACAGGGCTTGTCAGAAACTCCTGACTGGCTTTCTCGAAAATGGGTGAACCACTCGAACATACACTTCATGGACAGTTCTTGATCTTCATAAACACGTATCAGCATAGCATAAGTTCTTTCGGTGTCTTGCCTAACTTAAAATAAAACTTTAAATTGATCTTTTGTTCGCTCATTTTCCTGTTTTCAGTTAAGAAACAACGTACTAAAGAAGCACTTTGTAAAACAAGTCTTACGTGGAGTCTGACTCTCAACTGAACAGCGGTGGTATCAGATGGTAACACCTGTCTCTACACATGTGCAGTGTTTTGTTTCGCCAGTGTTGCCAGATCGGCCATTCTGACTTCATTCACCGAACTTTTTGCCAGGTTTCCAAATGAATACTTTGTAATAAATATTCCCTATCTATTTACAAATGTTTTGAAAGGAAATATTTAATAATATTTTAAGTTATTCAGTTTTAAGCCTATTTGAATAGAGAGATTCTAATTAAATAAATGATCAGAAATCAAAAGTAAAAAAAATGGAATTTGAGATTAAGTTTTGAATCCGAAGAGTATTTGTTTTTATATAAAAAAAAAACACTTTTTAAAATAAATCAAACATAAATAATGATGAACTTTATGAATAATAGATTAATACTCGTCTGCTTACATATTATTAATTGTCTGATTGGCTTGTATGGATGAAATTTTATTAAACGAAAGTTAATTTTTTAATTTAGACATTTTAATTTGTGTGATACAATTAAATTAACTATTTAAATGCATCCTTAGTATATATGTAGGGGCTTCAAAAAGTAAGATAACAAACTCAATCAGAGTAAAAGTTTATTCAGGAAATTTAAAAAAAAATTATATACAGTGTAAGAAGGTGCAGACACATATTACTTCTCGACATAGTCACTACATTTATCGAGGCATTTGTTCCATCCATTCACCATACCATTGAAACTAGCATCATAGAAATCGGTGTCAAAGCTGTACAACCACGTTAAGACGACTTGTTGAACCTCAGCATTGGTTCTTGTGCAATTTTACTCCGAGGAATGTGACATCTTGAATCAAAACTTGGATACGGCAATCATCTACGCTAAAAGCACTTAGTCGCGCTGCTCTTTCTTCATCTAGCACGTCTGTTCTGACTGTCAAATTCCATGCACTAGAATCACATCTGTTTTCGTGACATAACACTTGTACCGTATGCATTCATCAATTGTCGATAGATTGCAGCTGGAGAAATTTTTTTAAAATGCAAAAATTGTAACACACTTGTTTCAAATCGCGAACCATGTTTCCTTCAACACAGCCATCTTCTAACTGAGATTTAGCCATGTTACCGGAGAGCCAGCTCCCTCTACCGGCATCGTTTGAATGCTATGATCGTTATTATCAGATTTTTATTCATACGGATAGTTTACACCAGTGCTTCTCAAACTTCCAATACTGGCGACCAATTTTCAATCATTATTTTCATCGTGCTCCCCACCCCCACATATTAACAATACATTGAATGCAGTGGCGTAACGGAGAACATTTGGGCCCCCTGCAAAGATAAGTTTTTACAAAGGGTAGGTACTTGACAGCAGTCAGGCATTGGTCCCCCCCCCCCGTAATGCGGGGGTTGCGGGATAGTACGTTACGCCACTGATTGAATCCAATAAGGGTGTTCTTTGACGATAAAGCTGCAACACAACTTTAATTGTAAATTGTACAAATTATCAAGATAAGTATTATATATAAATTTTGTATATGCTACTTTTAAGTAAATTACTTTAAGCGCATCGTGCTACTTTTCCTGTCTGCATTAAAAAGTGTAAATCCTTATTTTATTTTTTATAATGTCTGAATTTATATTTGTTTGCTTCGTTGTATTAAATCAGCAAACTAATATATTTTTTAAAATAATCTTTTATTTTCGCCTTTTGGATAAGTTTGCGCCCGTCCCCCTCGTAGGGTCATCACGTCCCCCTAGGGAAGCACGCCCCACCGACAGTTTGAGAATCACTGATTTACACACACGTCAGAGCTTTTCTTGCCTAATTTTTTGAAACACCAACGCGCATATCTTATCTAATAAATAGAATTTTTTTTTTTTTTTTTTTTTGATATTCATTGAGATTCTATTATAAAGAACCTAACGATTTCTTGAATTAAAACAACATCGCATTATTCTTTTTCAAATTCTCTTTGTTTAAGTTTAAATTGGTTTTTTAATTTCAAGAACAATGGTTGAATGTCAACAATATATATAAAGGTGAAAATATTGTCCTTTTTAAGTACACCGAAATAGAACGTTTTTGTTATTAATTTGATTTCATTGAACGATAAAACTTAATGCATTAATTATGTAAATCACTGAAAGTGACTTACTTTAAATAATTAACTAAAGTTTAATATTTGAATTA